TAACATTAAGATGCAGATAAAAATTCAGAGATAATTTTGTCATTGTAAAGCCAATTGCTCCATTGTTCCATCTCTAATTCCAAGGTTTAAGGGATAAACTTTCTTGCCTTATTTTGTAAAAATATGGAAATGTATTTTATTTATATATATATTAAATATATATGTATATATAATATATAAAGATATATATATATTAAAAAAGGTATTGTAAAGGTATTAGAATATATATACATCCATGAAAATTCCATTATCACTACTGACCAAATCTCTTAAATTCTAGAAATGAACCAGAGAAACGTTTTTACATTAGTCAATACTAGAGATGAAGGAAATCTTACTAATCTAGTGACATTCCCATCACTCTAACTCTATATTAGCAATCATAGTGAAAAATATATCTTGATTCTACCCATGCCTCAGTAGAAAGTGAGAATCTATTTTGCATGGCAAAATGCAAAGCCTTGTGCCTACGGTAGCATTCTAGCAGCTGTCAGTGTGAAGAAATTATGGTGAAGCACTCAGCTGTCAAACTTTGTTTCGATTTTTAATGAGTGACCTTGACTGAATATCATCAACTGTTTTCTTAGCATTTTTATAAGATCACATGGTTTTTCTTCTATAATTTATTAATACAGTATATTACATTGTTAAATTTCCTAATGTTGATTCACCCTTGAAGCCTTAGAATAAATCCTGATAATCTATTGATAAGTTGATAGATTCCATTTGCTTTTATTTTGCATCCATAATCATAAGTAGTCAGTAGTTTTCTTTTATTGAATTAAATTTATCACATTGTTTTTAAACATATTCTGGTTAATAAAGTAACTGTGGAGATTTAATGATTTTTATAGTCGAAAAGTTTTTATTATATTGGATTTAACTACTATTTAAAAATTAGGCAGAACTCATCTGCAAAATCATTGCGTCAGGGTGCTTTTTAAAAATAGACTTCTAATTATCTTCACAATTTCTTCTATGGTAATTGATTTATCAATTTCTTTGTCCTTCTTTTATCAGTATGAGTAGTTTAACTATCACTAAGAAATCATACATTTCATTCAGATTTTAAAATTTCTTGCCCTAGAGTTTTCGGTTAATATTTTCTTAAAAATCTATTAACTTTTGCTATGTCTGTGGAGAAATCTCTGTTTTCACTCCTAAACCTCAATGCTTTACTCTGTCTCTATTTTTAAATCAAGCATATAAACCATCTTTTCATTACTTTATCCTTTCCAACATTTTCTTCTTTTCTATTTCATTGTATTTCTATGTCTGCTTTTACCAATATTAATTTCTACTTTCTTTTATTTTTTTAATTTTGCATGCTTTCTTAAAATAAGTATTAAGATACTTTCTTGATGAAGATATATAATGGTATATACAGTAGTCTCAACTTCATGTGATGTATTCACTCTTTATCATTAGGGAGAGTCTCCTTTTTAATAAAAGGTGATTTCATACAGCAGAATAATTCTGCAACAAAGATGAAAACTCACTGTTTATGGTTGAACTGTGTCCCCCAGAAAGACAAGTTGATGTCCTCCTAATCCTCAGTACCTGTGAATGTGACCTTATTCAGAAATAAAATCTTTGCAGATGTGATTAAGATGAGGTCATTAGGGTGAGCTCTAATTCAATATGACTGGATTCTTATAAGAAGAGGAAAACACTACGTGAAGACAGACATACACAGGGAAAATGGAGGCAGAGATTGAGATGCTGTAGCTGAAAGCTAAGGAATACCAAAGATGGCTGGCAAACCACTAGAAACCAGGAAGAAGCAAGGAAGGATTTGCCCCTACATGTTTCAGAGAGAGTACGGTCCTGAAAACACCTTGATTTTAGATATCTAACCTCCAAAACTGTGAAACAATAAATGTCTATTGTTTTAAGGCACTCAGTTTGTGGCACTTTGTTATGGCAGCCTTAGGAAACTAATACACTCATCAAAAAAAAAAAAAAATGCCCTACACGGATTTTCCAATTATCATTTTCTGATTGAAACAGGCATCCCATTATTCTTCTAGTACTGCTGCTACAATTTAATAAATTTATTGATTTATACTGTTTTAAATGGGCTCCCAGGGGAAAGATCCTTATCATAAATGAGACAGCTCTTCTTGCCTCTATATCTTATAGGATATGAGGAAGATTTACTTGCCACTTTCTTGGGCAATCAGAATTGTGAGTCATCCCTCCATGATTTATTTCAAGCTTTTTCTATCTTCTGGTTGATCTACCAGAATTACCTTAATGTGTATTTTGGTTTGAGACCATTCCCCAGTTTCAGTAAAGATGAAGATTCACACCATTTTTGTTTGATTTGGTCATATCTTTAGTCGTTTATGTGGAAATCTCATGTTTCCATAATCTTATACTTCCTCTCTTTTCCATAAGTAAGATTTTTGATAGGAGGAACTACACTTATTTACCTTTGCAAATTTCACACCTAAAAGAGTACTTGGAACATTATAAGCATAAAATAAGAATATCGTAAAGGAATGAATGTTGTCCATTTGTTCATTCCTCAAATGACAAAGTGAAAAAAATTCCCAAATGTATACAATATTTGACAATGGAATACAGGATTTCATGTGACCTTCTACTATACAAAAAGATATGAAAACAGAATATTTGAGATATAACATCCAGGGTTAAGGAAAATAAATTTTATAGTACGGGTTGGCTATTTTTAAAGGATGCTTCATTATTTGTTTCTGAGGGTAGTATATATTTTTAACTGATATTTTCATGGGGTCTGAACTTTTACCTAGCACTTCAATAGTAACTGCATTACTATTGAGAAATAGAAATTAGAATCCAAATTCCATTTCTATTAATCTTGATGCAGTAGTGTTTTCCAGTCAATTAAACAGGCCAGCACCATGTTCACCCATGACTGATGTGAAGACAGCATTTAGTTTTAGAATTCTTGATGGATAAATGATAGCAATCCATGAGCCCCACTGAGCTTATATAAAGCATCCAAGTCAATGAATCAAACTCCTTTTTACCCATTACCCACCTAATAGCTAGAAAGTCCATTTTAATAGCTACTCATTAGGGACCTGCCTTGGAATAGAATATAGAATACTTATTTAGGCAAATGGCATCTGCCTTTAATAATTATTTTCTTTTCCTGTCTTTATTTACCCCAAGGACTTATAAAAAGTCTAGATGTAATTGGCACTCCTTAAAAAGTCCTTGACTATATTTGACCATAAATTTTTGATAGTTTGTCCAACTTTCACAAATGGGATACATGAAGCAAAAAAAAATAAAAGGAGAATATACATCTTAGATCCTTCAAGAGAATAAATGGGAAACAAGACCAAAAAATATCTCTGAAGAACTGTCAGTTATGTTATTACAAGTTAAAACACCACTATTTTTATGGGGTTGTGATCTTTCCCGTGTGTTGAACACTCTGGTTTCCCATATTTTTCTGACTTGCTGTTAGAGAATTGACTATTTTCCATTAATTATCCATCCATCTATAATGCTCCTTACTAGTGGAGAGATAGGAATGTAATCTAAGTTTGGCCAGACAAATGCTTTCACCCTAAGAAGCTGGAATCTTGAGGTTAGTTATGCAAGTATGTAGTAGATTCATCTGGTCAAAATCCACTTTTGAGAATGACCTGGATCTTGGAATTTGCCAGGTACCTCTCTTTTCTTACCCTCATTCTTCAATACTTTTCTTTTTAAAAATCTATTATATATTCCCATATTATTCCAATTAAAATATATTTTTCTTAGTAAGAAAATTCAAAGAATATAACTTAGGAGAAAAATCTAGGTAACCTTGGGTTTGGCTATGCCTTCTTAAGTAAAATACAAAAAGTAAGTTATGTGAGGGAAAAAAATGATAAGTTGTACTTCATTAAAATTAATAACTTCTGCTCTAAAAGACTGTTAGAATGAAAAGACAAGCCGCAGACTGGGGAATATATTTTCACAACCTACGTGCGATAAAGGACTATTATCCAAAATATACAAAGAACTCTTAAAATTCATCAGTAAAAAAAAAAAATGCAATTAACAAATGGGCAAAAGGTCTGAAAAGATACTACACCAAAGAAGATATACAGATATCAAATAGCATATAAAAAGATGCTCAATACCATATGTCACTATGAAAATGTAAATTAAAACAATGAGGTACAAAACGCCAATTAGAATGGCTAAAATCCCAAACACTGACAACACTAAATGCTGGAGAGGGTGTGGATCAACAAGAACTCGCACTCATTGCTGTTAGAACTCAGAATGGTACAGCCACTTTGGAAGGAACTTTAGCAGTTTCTTACAAAACTAAGCATTCTCTTACCATGTGAGCCAGCAATCATGCTCCTTGGCATTTACCCAAATGAGTTGAGAGTTTAGGTCCACACACAAACTTGCACACACATGTTTACAGCAGCTTAATACATAATTGCCCAAACTTGGAAGCAACCAAGATGTTCTTCAATGAGTGAATGGATTAGCAAACCATAGTACATCCATACAATAGAATTTTTCAGTGCTAAAAAGAAATGAGCAATTAAGCCCAGAAAACACATTGAGGAACCTTAATTGCACATTACTAAGGAAAAAGGCCAATCTGAAATGGCTCCATACTGTATGATTTCAACTATATGACATTCTGGAAAAGACAAAACTATGGAGACAACAAAAAGATCATTGGTTGGCAGAGGTTTGTGGGGAGGGAAGGAGAAATGAATAGGTGGAACACAGGGCATTTTCAGAGCAGTGAAAATTTTCTGTATGTTATGGTAAAGGTAGATCCATGTCATTATACATTTGTCAAAACCCATAGAATGTGCAACACAAAGAATAAATCCTAATGTAAACTATGAATGTTGATTAATAACAGTGTATGAATATTATCTCATCAATTGTAACAAATGTACCACACTAATGTAAGATGTTAATAATAGGGGCAACTAGGGGAGGGTGTGAGGAGGTTTATGGGAACTCTCTGAACTTTCTGCTCAGTATTTCTATAAACTTAAAAATGCTCAAAATAATAAAGTCTATTCATTTAAAAATCATTATTCAACATTAAAAAATTAAATAAGTATAAAAGCAAAAATAAACAAGTGGAACTATATCAAACTAAAAAGCCTATGCACAGCAAAGAAAATAATCAACAAAATGGAAAGACGATGTACAGAATGGCAAAAAATATTTGCAAACTATATATCTATAAGGGGTTAATATCCAAAATATATGAGGAACTCACAATTAAAAAATAGGCAAAGTATGTAAATAAACATTTTTCCAAAGAAGACACACAAATGGTCAACATGTATATGAAAAGGTGCTCAACATCACTAATTATCAGGGAAATACAAAGAAGACAATAAGATTTCATCTCACATCTATTAGAATGGCCTATATCAAAAAAATAAAAGATAAGTGTTGGCAAAGGGAAATCTTGTACGCCGTTGGTGGAATATAAATTGGTACAGCCATTACAGAAAACAATATAGAGATTCCTCAAAAATCTAAAAACAGAACTACCATATGACCAAGTAATTCCTCTTCTGGGTATATACCCAAAGGAAGTAAAATCCACCTTGAAGATTTCTGTGCTCCCATGTTCACGGCAGCATTATTCACAATAGCCAAGATATGGAAACAACCTAAGTGTCCATCAATAGATGAATCTATAAATAGTTATATATTTATTAGTTACACAACTAATATAATATACATATATTATTCAGCCTTAATAAAGGAAATTTTGCCATTTGCAGCAACATGGATTAAGCCAGAGGACATTATGCTAAGTAAAATAAGCCAGAAAGAAAAAACAGAATGATCTCACTTACCATGTGAAATCTAAAAAAGTCGAATACATAAAAGCAGAGAGTAGAAATGTGGTTACCAGCGGCAGGAAGATGAGGGAAATGGGGAAATGCTAGTCAAAAGGTACAAAGCTGCAGTTATGTAAGATGAATAAGTCTAGAGATCTAATGTACAGCATGATGACTGTGGTTGTATTATACTGTACTGAATACTGGAAATTTACTGAGAGAGTAGATTTCAGGCGCTCTCATCACACAAAAAGAAATGGTAGGCATGTGAGGAGATTATAGCAAATGTTAATTAGCTTGACTGTAGCAATCATTTGACTGTGTATGTGTATATCAAATCATCATGCTGTACATCTTAAATAGATGAAATTTTTGGTAAAAATAAAATTTAAAAAATAGAAGTATTGCTTCTTTATCAACTCTTGTAGATGATTTGATTCACTTTAGACTTAAAAGTTTAGACAATCCTCTTGAGTTTTTGAGTTATTTCATCGGGGTTTTGTTGTCACTGTTTCTTTATTTTACTCTTCTGTAGATCTAGGGTGATTTTATAGGAAATGTGAATGTTGTACAATGATGCTGTGGTGGGCACTTTCTGCTAGACCTCTCCAGGATTCATGTAGGGACATTTTCTACTTGCCTCCAATACTGACAAGCAAGTTCCCCTGGTAGAATGCAATCTAGCTTCAAGTGTATGGAATATGTAAATGTTAAAGAGCTTAAAATAAGTATATATGCTGAAACACATTTTAGTGTGCAATTTTTGTTCTAGATGAGAGAGAGGGTTGCAGATATACCAGACACTTGGCAAGAAAACAGCATATGTTATTTTGCCCAGAAGTGTTTTAAGGAGAAACAAGATGTAACAGTAAGTTGTAAGCTTTACATCTCCTTATTTATTTCATAATGTTTTTACAATCCAGTTGAAATTAAAATAAAAATATAGTAGATGAAGTGAAAACTGGTTTCCTTTTTATTTGTGACAAAACATGAAAATGATTTGTAGTAATAATGAGATTGACGCTAATATTCCCATCTCTAAAGATTCACCTGGCCAATAAAAAGAAATGAGAATAGATAAAGGATTTCAGAAATAGGAGAAGGATGGAAGAACATTTGATGACAAATTAAATTGTTTATATGTGAACCTCATGTTTAACTAAAAATAGTCACTCTAAGAAGTCATTTAACTTGCTAAAAAGCATTGACAAATGAAGTAGTTTGATGCAAACTTGATATACTTTTCATTTAAAATTAATGATCACTCAAATGAGTATTAATATTTTACTAATAATTATTAATAATATAAATATACTATCCATACACAGTACTGGATTATAACCCAAGCAAAAACTAAATACCCATGAGTCCATACTGATGTAAATAAATGATTAAATAAATAAATAGGGAAAACAGACATATTATCCTTAAAAAAGAATCCAACTGATTTATATAGATACTTTCCCCTTCAAGAGGTGAAGTTTAATCACCTTCCCTCTCCCTTGAGTGCAGGCAACACTTCACGACTTGTTTCTAAAGAATAGAGCATGGTAAAAATGTAACCTTACAGTGGAGAAAACTGTCAAACAGTACCTTGGCCAGGTGAATCAGATTAACATCATCAGTAATAAATCATGTTGATAGCATGTACACCTGACCTGATGTCATGAAACGGGGACTCCATCTTTGTTCTTTCAAATACCCATAACCTCAATCTAATCAAAAGGAATAGAAAAGAAAAACCCAAATTAAGGCACTTTCTATGAAATACCTGAAAAGTATTCCTCAAAACTGCCGAGGTAATAAAAACCAAGGAAAGATAGAGAAACTGTTACAGACTGGAGAGACTAAGGAGACACCACAACCAAATGCGATGTGATATCTTGGATGGGATCCTAGAACAGAGAGTGTACAGTAGTGGAAAATCTAGTGAAATCTGAATCAAGTGTGGAGGTTAGTTAATAATAACATACCAAAGTTGGTTTCTTAGTTATGATAAATATGCCATGTTAATGTAAGATATTAACTATAAGAGAAACTGGTCAGTGATATAGAGAAACTATTTGTTTTTGAAAAGAATGTGTATTTGCTACTGTTGGGCAGAATGTTCTCGTTAATTGTTAAGTAGGTCGAGTTGGTTGATAGTGTCGTTCAGACCTCTGTATCTTGACTGATTGTCTATTTGCTGTATCAGTTACTGAAAGAGGAGGACTGACGTCTCAAACTATAATTGTGGATTTGTCTACTTCTTTTTTTGGTTCCATAAGGTTTTACTTCATGAAATTTGAGGCTCTATTCTCAGGTGCATTAAACATTAAGCATGTTATGTCTCTTTGTTGAATAGTCTTTTATCATTATGCAACATCCCTCGTCATCTCTTCTAATAGTCCTGGATCTGAAGCTTGCTTTGTCTGATATTAATATAGACCCTCCAGCTTCCGTTGTCTGATATTAATATAGACCCTCCAGCTTCCTTGTGATCAATTTTTTATGGTATTTTTTCCTCTTCTTTCACTTTTAGCTTATATACCTTTATATTTAAAATAGAATTCTTATAGAATGTACATTGCAGGTTCCTGCTTTTATTGCCAACCTGACAATCACTATCTTTTTATTAGGGTGCTCAGCCCATTTACACTCCATACAATTATTGATTTGTTTGGATATAAATATATCATCTTGCTAGTTGGTTTTCATTTTTTCTATCTATTCTTTTTCTCCATTTCTCTTTTTCTGCCTAACATTGAATTAAATGTGTATTTTTTATTATTTGGTTTTATGTCCTTTTTAAACTTATTAGTTACACCTTTTTTCTAATTGTTTTATTAGTTGCTCTCAGTTTTATAATATATATCATTAACTTATCACAAAGGACCCTCAAATATAATACATTTTTGCTTGTATTAGATGAACATTACAGCAGTGTGGTTCCAATTTACTTCCCCATCCTTTGTGTTCTTTGTTATCATATATTTTAAAGTTACATGGTATAAAAATCCATAACTAATTATTATTATTATTGCTTTAGGCAATCAATTATCTTTATGAGTATTGAAAAATAAGAATAAATGCCTTTAATATTTACTTTTCTTTTTACCATTTCTGGAACTATTCATTTCTTTGTGTAGATCTAAGTTTTTCTCTGGTATTTACCATTCCTTATAGTGCATGTTGGCAGGCAATTCATTCTCTCGATTTTTGTTTGTCTGAAAGTCTGAAAGTTTGCAGTTGTAAAACATATTTGTATTCAATATAAAATTACAACTTTTCAGGACTTTCCTCCAATACTTCAAAATCACTCCAATTTCTGGTTTCCAGGTTTTCCGACGAGAAATCTTCTGTCATTGTTATTTTTGTTTTTCTGTATTTGATGTGTCTTTTGTATCTGGCTGACATCAAGACTTTCCTTTCATCTTGATTTTTAGGTAGCTGAATATTATTTGTCTAGGTGTGTTTGTGTTTACTGGTGTGTGTATGTGTGTGTATGTGTGTGTCTCTCTGTTTTTGATATTTATCTTACTTTGACTTTTCTTCACTTTTTGGATTCATTGCTTGATTTCTTTTATTATATTTTTAAATTTCTTGGCAATCATCAATGCAAACAATTCTTCTTCTCCTTATGGAATTTCAACTTCATGTATGTTAAACTATTTGACCACTTGATGATCTGTTCTCACCCTCCCCTTTTTTCTTTTTATGTTTCTGATTGATAATTTGCATTGACCTATGTTCAATTTCTCTAAATTCAGCTCTGTCAAGTCTACTGAATGAGCCTATCAAAGGAGATCACCACAATTACTGCTTTTTAGGGTAGCATTTCATTTTGATGCTTTCTTCTAGTTTCCATCTCCTTTCTGAAATGTCCTATTAGTGCATGCGTGGTGTTAGCCATTTCCCCTAGGTTCTTTAACATTTTTAAATAGTTATTTGAAGTCACCATCCAATGCCTGTGTCATCTCTCAGTCTGGTTCTCTAGATTGCTTGACATATATATTTTTGCTTTTAGAGTGCCTCAAAAATTTTAACTCAATTCCAGACATCCTGTGTATAATGATAGATATTGAGGTGAGTAGCATTTATGCATGGAAATGGGTAGTCTCTTTTCAGGTAGTTAGTTCAGGGGACTGAGTCAATATGGTCGGGGTGGACCAGGATTTGGGGTTTTGGTTGCTATGGTTACTTTCAACGTACTAAACGTGGCTTTTCCTCAGAATTAAGGTCTCCCCTCAGGTTTCAGCTGATTCTTTAAGCTGCACCTCATGAGGGGTGCGTCTCTCCATGCTTTATCCCTCCCCTAATAGTAGACAGTTTCTACTTGTACCTGGTGCTTGCTAGGCTCACAGGTCGGGTATGTGTGTTTTGGGATGTTCTCTTGTTGTCCCTGTAGCTGAGTGAGCTCTGTGTCATTGCGTCCCAGAAGAGTGGCTTTCTCAGCATTCCTCTCCCTCCGTCTCATGGCAGTGAAGCTCTGCCTTGTATCTGTGTGAGTCTTGTGATGGAGAAAGTTTCCCACCCTCCCCAGTGATAGGAGACCTCTAATTGGCATAGGAGGCTAAACAATTCTGTTTCTAACCACTCCCGGGAAGTGACCTAGCCGTCTCTTTATGTTCTTTTAGCAACATTGTGTCTATTTGGTTCCAGGAAAGATAAATTTTTCTGTCCTGCCCCCTGACGCTTGAGGCTTTGAGAAAAGCCTCTGAGAAGGGTTGCAAGGGTTTGTGCCTTTTTTGCAGGTTACAGCCTTTCCTCCCCTATCCCTGCACCAGGGAGAGCTCTCGCTGGTCTCTTGCACCTTCCACAAACAAAAGCACCTGGCAGAAATCCATGGTAGTCTGTGAGTAGTTGAACTCCATATCGGGTTCTCCCAGGGTTTGTATATACTATCACCCTAGCCCAAACTCAGTCATTAGCAATCTGTAAAACTTTTATCTGATTTCCTCTTGCCTGCTTATATTGTGGTCCTGATTCCTTCCCACGTTCTGCAACAGGCCAGACAGTCTAAGTAACCTGTCTCTCTTGTGGGGATGGGTGCTATTCCTTCTGGAAGTTCAGGGGACTTGTTACCTTGTAATTCAGCTCTCTGAAGGAATTAAGAAACATTGTAACCACCAATCCAATCTCTGTCCCTATGTATCCGTCCATTGTTGTCACTATCTACTACCTAATGAAGGAAATCATACGGTATTTGACCTTCTCCCTCTGACTTATTTCACTTTGCATTATACCCTCAATGTCCATCCATGTTGTCACAAATGGCTGGATTTCGTCGTTTCTTATGGCTGAGTAGTATTCCATTGTGTATATATACCACAGCTTCTTTATCCATTCGTCCCTTGATGGGCACTTAGGTTGCTTCCAAGTCTTGGCTATCGTGAATAAGGCTGCAATGAACACAGGGGTGCATGTACCTTTGCAAATTGGTGTTTGGATTGGTGGTTGCCAGAGGGGAGGGGGGGAGGGAGGAGGGTGAAAGGGATAATTCGGTGCATGTGTGTGGTGATGGGTTGTAATTAGTATTTTGGTGGTGAACATGATGTGGTCCATGCAGAAATAGAAGTACAATGATGTACACCTGAAATTTTTACAATGTTATAAACCAATGTTACTGCAATAAACAAAAAATTAAAAAAAAAAAAAAAAAAGAAACATTGTATTTCTTTAGTTAATTATCTGGCTGCTTTTTTTCTTGAGTGAAATACTATTTTCATCTTATTATATTGTAGGATAAAATGAAATTATACACATTTTTAAAAGCTAATTTTACACATATAATATATATTATATATTTTATGTATATATGCTTATACACATATATGCACAACGTGCATTAAGATGCTTTAAGAAGGTTTGCATTTCTCAGTAACTCGGAATAAAAGTAAGAATTTCACAAAAATTATTTCAATTTTTATTACCTGTATTCACTGATACTCACTTTTATATATTGTACCTTTATTTTATTGATTCTACATTTCCAAACTTGTCCCTCATTCTTTGTAAATGTAATGCCCTGGTGAATGGCACTCTCTCTGCAGCTTTTTATGGGAATTCCTGTCTAATTCTAGAATCCTTTCATTTCAATCCCCAAATATTTTATTTTTCAAAAATGAGTCAGATGTTTGTGTAGCTTATGTTTTGTAGTATTTGCTTGATCACAGAGAAATCTGTCATAAAGAACAAATTTCATTCACTAATAAAATTTATAAAATATACTCACATCAAACATTCCCAAATAAATAAAATTAAGTTACAACATTTAGTAGAGAACATTCTTAAATAAGAGGTTCAATATTTATAATGTGTTCTATTTTAAGCTGGTTGCTAATATTTCTTAAAAGACAATCCCAGTTCTGTCAGTGAAACACAGGCCCTCACCTCTTGTCAGAAACTCTTCCTGGCAACTCAGATGATTTGACAGGATCCAGAGGTCCAGGACTCCTCCACACCATTTTTTCAACCTACATCTCTATTAGTATCCTTTGGCCTGAAATAGTCTTCAAACCAGGTCATCCTTCAACCTGAGTTGCCACCACCTCGCTCTGATATTGTGAATCACATATTCCTACTGTACCTCTGTCAACAGCTGGGGCGGGAGGCCCTCACTGGGTGCACGTTGATCACTTGTGTTCTGAAATTTCAGAATCTTAAGAGAGTCTGCATCTCTTCACACCGCAGAGTTCATACGTAAATCATTACATCTCAACACAAAATAAAATTGCGCCCATTTATATATTGTGACAAAAATGGATTTTTATCCCAATGAGATGTTGGGAAGCAACAGTTGCTTCGTAAAGGGAGAAAATGCCCCCAGAACCTCCACAAACTGTTTGATTTAAGGAAAAGGAAAAGTTAGAAGACGTGGTAGAAACAAAAGTTAGAAGGTGTGGGCAGGCCATGTGGGTACGTTCAGGGGAGGCTTAGATATAGTCTTTCTATCCTGGGACTTTGTTTTAGCTGGCCTAAAAAATCGCTACCACCATCCTCTCTTACGCTCATCCTAGTCTGGAAATGCATTGTTTCTAAATGGTAAATTATTGATAAATTCCCTAAATTTCTTGACCTCTAAAATAAAGTTTTAATATTATATACCACCACTCAGAAAAAGAATGTCCAACATCAAAATTTTATTAATTTATGGTACACTTATAGATGTGTTGTATCTATTTTAACTGATAAGCCCTTTTCCCAAATATATCATTGAAGCACTAAGTCCCCCAAGGATGACAATGAAAGATTGACTACTTTAGCAAAATTGTTATGTGCAGTCCTTCACTGCATTACTTCTTTTATTCTTCACTGTACAGTGTTTTATATTATTAGTGGTTGGGTATTAGTTCCTTAAAAATCATTTTTAAAAAGGAAAGTGGTTATCTTTCACACATACACATTATCCTGTAGCTAGGTTTCTGTTACTTTCACTTGCATTACTGAGCATTAATGCAAAAACTTAGGTAGTAAAGTAGATAAACATCTATTTCCAATTCCTTTGAAAAGTTGTGAATACTTTCAAAAAAGAAAACAGTACTATTTTACGCTTGGACTTTATCCTCTAGTTTTTTCACAGTTGTTACCTGTAAGTAACACTGACTTTCCTCCCTCCCTGTCTCTACCTACCTACCCTCCTTCCTTCCTTCCCTCCTCCCTTCCTGCCTGCCTTCTTCCTTCCATTCTTCCTTCTTTATCTTTCCTTTCATAATTAGTCATTAATTGAAAAACAACATATATCCAGTTGTTGTTGTTATTGTTGTGGTTACTAATTTAAGGAATAAAGCTCTATGTCTGTCCTCCAAGATTTAACTTAGATATGAATTACCTAACATCACCTCCTAGCTGATTCCTTTTCTGGGTATTCATACTTTCCAGTTCAATTTATGATGATGGCCTAGAGACAAGGACAAATGCAGAAAAGATCGACCTATTGAAAAGGGACCACTCTAGAAAGAAAGAGCATAGCAGTGGGTCATTGTACATATTGAAGATGAAGTACTACTCAACTACCTGGATTAGAATCCTTGATCTAATGTGACTAGCTATGTGACCTTGGAGAGCTCATTTGATTGCTCAGTTTTTTCATCTGTAAAACAAAAATAATTCCTAATCCATAGAGTTATTTTGTGGTTTGAATGTATTGATAAGTAATAAACTTATAAGGTATACTAAGCATTAAAAATATAAAGTATCATCGTCACAATCAGCATACATTGAATAGGGTACGTGAAGATGGAAGGTTTGTTGGAGCATAACACGTGGCACTTACAGGTGTGATTAGTAACGCTTATCTGAGTTTTTACATCTGTTTGGTCTTATACACAGAATAAAGTCAAATAATCTGTCAAGAACTCAGGAGGGTTTTAGATTTTACCCTACTTGCAAGCTAACACGCTGTTAGACCACAGTTTCTTTGATGATGGCCTAAGGCGTGAAACTCTTGAGTCAAAGCCATGATTACTTACGGCATGGTAAGCAGTTCTCACCCTTAAATATGCATGGGTATTTATAACATTTACACTTATTCTCATGGGTTTGTAATATGCATTTATATATTTGCTCCATATATTTCAACTATATTATGTTTTACGAACCTCCTTATTTAATGTAACATTTACCTCCAAAACATCAATTTTCTTACATAAAATGTGAAGGCACTTTTTAAAAATATTATTTCCATATTGTCATTAGTTATATAATTTTCCATGCCCTTTGGCATATAAATATTAAATAGAAATACTGATTTTTCTCTGTAGTATATATTTGAAATTTTGATGCACACAGTTTTCCCTTGATATATGTCTATTGAAAGAATTGCTAAATGTCCAGGTAGATATTATGGATTGACAAACAAATAAAATGATGAAGTAAAACATCATTTCGTTGGCCAAGACTATTTTAAAGAGAAATTTGAGTCCTAGGGACATACATTTTATTCGAATTTATGCATAGATAGGAAATACGAAACGTCACAACTAGTTTCTGTATCTGTGAGAAAGTTGGAGCATTCTATATGGAGACTTATTTTGTTAATATCGGAAATTTCCAAAACAACTCTTTCTATGGCATATATGGACAGATTGCTGTACTACTTGACAGCTATACTAGTTGCATGGTATACTTAGGGAATATGTACTAAATTAAATTCATTTGGAATATAGTATGGTTTTCACTGTCTACTCTACTACCCCCACTATCTTAGACTACTGTACTGGAGAAGATCAAGAATATTTAAATGCAAAGGTATAAAAATTAGTTCAGATATGGGGAATTACATAGACTCTATAACATATATTAAGAAATACTATTTTTACGGAACAGGATTGAGAAATGAAAATATGATCTTAACTTCCCACAATCCATCCCCTCTGACATATTATAGAACATATAGTCAATGTATAACAAAATAGGGCCTTGCTAGAAAAATAAGAAATGTTGAACAAATGTTGTAATTAGTATTTGGGTGGTGAACACGATGTAATCTATGCAGAAATAGAAGTATAATGATGTACACCTGAAATTTATACAATGTTATAAACCAATGTTACTGCAATAAACAAAAAATTAAAAAAAAAATTCAGTAATAAAGCATTTCAGGAAAAAAAAAAAAAAGAAAGAAATGTTGAACAAATGGTAGATTAACTGAAGTGAATTTTGAAATGTCCATGCAGCTTTAGGTTGTGAACCCTTGAGAGTGAATGAGTCAGTCTTAAGGTGACATGAGTGAGGAAGAAAGCCATGCAGATATTTGAGGAACATAATATATACATATATATTTTGAAAAACATCTGTGTGGGAAATTTGTGTGTAGTCTTCAAATGTGGACTCAAGGACTCAATTAACACAGGATCTTCTGCTTTACATGCAAAAATTTTAGTCACTCCTTGGGAAATGTAGCATATTTATTTCAAGTAATACATGCACTTCAACAAATTATAACTGATGAGTATAAAAATAAACATGTTCACAATCTGGTTTTGTTAGTTTTTGGAATAAGTCACAATTATAATAGTGAAAGCAATATTGAGAGTGAAAATATAGGTAAAGGTATATCACTGTATGCCACTTCTGATACTGATTCCTTTAGAAATGAGAAACTCATAATTTCATAATTTTAACGGAAAACAAACATAGGGACACTTTTCAGAAAACAAAATTTTACATATAAACTTGCACGCTATGAACTAGGAACTTTACTAAATCATAGGCATAAATGCTAATGAAAGAAAGTTTGTTCAAAGATGACTTTGTTTCTATTCAAGCTCAATGAGCAGGTGTTAGAATTCCTATAAGAAAAGTCATTATAGAGATAAGTAGCTTTAAACCCAATGTCATTATTTTCATCATTCATAAGTGCTGTTTGCACTTGCTTTAGCACACATTTGCTTTGTTGATTTATTTGCCTATTTTCTCCCATGTGAGGGAATAAAACTTCTACAAATGATTCCCTTCAGCCATTTCAACACTATTATGTAACAGAATTTCAAACATAAAACAAAGGTACTGCTGTACTAGAGTGCGAGGCACCAGGAAAATTAATAGCTGTCGGTGTAAATGGGTAGCAGAACTGGCAAATCTGTTTCCTGGTTGTTAGAGGCATCTTGGTTTCTAAAGTTATTAATAATAATCAAAAAATATTTCTCTAAAAATGCAAATATAAAGGGGAAAGAATCAAAGAATATTTCCAACATATTGGAAAACTGCTAATGATGCATGATATGTGTGGGGACGTGGGGCGGGGGCAGGCCATTGTTCTTGTTTAGTACCATCAACATCACCAAAGTTGTCTAAGTTGGTGTTAATATGCAGATATCAGACAATATACATTTTAAAGAAAAAAAACTCACGAGTTTAGGGTTAAACGTAGGGTTAATGAAGGTCATATATACTGGTAAAATATTTAACCTATTAGGAAGATAAAATTACTTAAACTAATTTTCTTCTAATAACATGACTTCACATTATATAAGAAAAAATGGACAACATAACAAAGAAAAATATTTAAAATTCCAAATTGTTATCTGTTTTTCCTTTGTGTGTCTGTGTGTGTATGTTTTGATTTTTTTTTTTTGAGTTAACATTGGTTTATAATATTATATAGATTTCAGGTACACATCACTATAATTTGACCTCTGAACATTGTGTTCACGAGCAAAAATCTACTTTCTATCCAGCACTGTACAAATGATTCCATTTAACCCTTTCCTCTTCTCCCCACTCCCCTTCCCCTCTGGTAACCACCAATCTGTTTTCTGTATCTATGTGTTTGTTTCATCTTCCACATAGGATCAAAATCATATGGTATTTGTCTGTCTCCATCTGAGTATAACACCCTCAATGTCCATCCATGTTGTCCCAAATGGCAACATTCCATCTTTTTATGGCTGAGTAGTATTCCATTGTGTGTGTGTGTCTGTGTGTGTGTGTCTGTGTGTATCACATCTTCTTTATCCATTCTTCTGTTGATGGGCACTTAGGTTGTTTCCATGTCTTGGCTACTGTAAATAATGCTGCAATGAACATAGTGGAGCATAGATCTTTCAAACTTAGTGTTTTCCTATTCTTTAGATATATACCCAGAAGTAGAATAGCTAGATTATATGGTAGTTCTACTCTCAATTTTTTGAGGAATCTCCCTACTGTTTTGCATAGTGGCTGCACCAATTTATATTTCTACAAGCAGTGTACAAATGTTCCCTTTTCTCCACGTCCTTGCGGACACTTGTTATTTCTTGTCTTTTTAATGGTAGCCATTCTGACAGGTGTGAGGTGATATTTCATTGAGATTTTGATTTGCATTTCCCTAATAGTTAGTGATTCTGAATATCTTTTCATGTGCCTGTTGGCCATCTATATATCTTCTTTGAAAAAATGTCTGTTCAGATCCCCTGCCCATTTTATGATTGGGTTGTTAGTTTTCTGTTGTTGAGTTATATTGCTTCTTTATATATTTTGGATATTAACTCCTTATCAGATGTTTGATTTGCAAATATCTTCACCCATTTGGTAGCTTGTCTTTTCGTTTTGTTGATGATTTCCTTTGCCATGCAGAAGCTTTTTAGTTTGATGTAGTCCTATTTGTTTCTGATTTTATTTGGGCCTTCTCTTAATTAGTGAGTCTAGTTAAAGGTTTGTCAATTTTGTCTTCTTTTCAAAGAACCAGCTCTTAGTTTCATTGATTTTTTTCTATTGTCTTTTTAGTCTCTATTTCATTTGTTTCTGCTCTGATTTTTATTATTTCCTTCCTTCTACTGACTTTGGGCTTTGTTAGTTCTTTCTCTAGTTCTTTTAGGTGTAATGTTAGATTGTTTATTTGAGATTTTTGTTTCCTAAGGCAAGCCTATATACGACCCTCTTAGTACTGCTGTTGCTACATCCCATAGATTTTGGTATGTCATGTTTTCATTTTCATTTCTCTCCAGGTATTTTTTTATTTCTCCTTTGATTTCTTTGTTGATCCAATAGTTGTTCAGTAGCATGTTGTTTAGTCTCCACATATTTGTGACTTTTCCAGCTTTCTTCTTGTAGTTGATTTCTAGTTTAATACCACTGTTGTCAGAAAAGATGCTTGATGTGATTTCATCCTTCTTCAATTTATTAAGACTTATTTTGTTTCCCAAAACATGGTCCATTCTTTAGAATGTTCCAGGAGCACTTGAGAAGAACATGAATTCTGCTACTTTTGGATGTAATGTTCTATATATATCTATTAAGTCCATCAGATCTAATGTTTCATTTAAGGCTGCTGTTTCCTTGTTGACTTTCTGTCTGGATGATCTATCCATTGATATAAGTGGGGTATTAAAGTCCCCTACTATTATTGTGTTGCCTCAATTTTCCATGTAGGTCTGTTAATAATTACTTTGTATATTTATAAATATGTATATTTATATATAAATATATATAAAAGGTGCATATTTATTAAAATGTTATGTCTTCTTGATAGATTTCCCCCTTTATCATTATATAATGTCCATCTTTGTCTCTTGTTATCTTTTTTGGCTTGAAATCTATTTTGTCTGATATAAGTAGAGCTACACCTGCTTTCTTATGGTCGCCATTTGCTTGGAGTATCATGTTCCATGCCTACACTTGGAGCCTATATTTGTCTTTAGAGCTGATATGAGTCTCCTGGGAGCAGAATATTGTTGGGTCTTGTTTTTTAATCCATCCAGCCACTCTGTCTTTTAACTGGTAAATTCAATCCACTTATATTTAGAATAATTATTGATATATAAGGACTTATTCTGACATTTTATCTTTTGCTTTCTGGTTGCTCTATATTTACATTGTTTCTTTTTTCTTGTGTTTCTGTCTGCCATTTCAGTGTGGTGGTTTTCTCTGATGCGTTTCTCAGTTTCTCCTTTTTTACATTTCATGTCTCTTCTCTGAATTTTTGTTTTGTGGTTACCATGAGGTTTGTATAAAATGTCTTATAGATGAAATAGTCCTTTTTCTGCTGATAGCATCTTATCTTCATTTCCCTATGCAGATTCTGTCCTTTTCCTCTTCCCCTTCTCTGTTTTTGTTGTCACAAATTGAAGTGCTATAGTTATTTTTAATGCTTCCTTTCCCTGTAACTTTTATGTTATAATTACGTGTTTACCAATCTATTCTGATATAGAGTTGCAATTTCCTAATTCTGTCTGTATATATATCACCTTGCTCAAAGTTTTGTATGTCTTTGCCTTTTTGTTTCTGGTAGGAGAGCTCCTTTCAACATTTCTTATAAGGCAGGTCTAGTGGCAATGAACTCCCTCAGCTTTTGTTTGTCTTGGAAAGCCTTTATTTCTCTTTCATATTTAAAGGATAACTTTGCTAAATAGAGTATTCTTGGCTGACAGTTTTTATCTTTCAATATTTTGAATATATCACTCTACTCTCTTCTGGTCTATAGACTTTCTGCTGAGAAATCTACTAATAGCCTAATGGGGGTTCCCTTGTAGGTTATTGGGTTTCCCCCCACCAACCCATCGCCCCCACCCCCCCGGCTGCCTTTAATATTCTTTCTTTGTCATTGACTTTTTATAGTTTTATTATCATGTGTCTTGGAGAAGGTCTTTTGCATTGCAATAACTGGGTTGTCTATTAGCTTCAGGGATTTGTATATCCAGTTCCTTCCCAAAGTTTGGGAAGTTATCAGCTATTATTTCTTTAAATAATCCCTCTGCTCCCTTCTCATTCTCCTTATGTTACCCTTTCTAATGGAGTCAGATAATTCTCAAAAAGAATTTCCACATTAAAAAAAAAAAAAACTTCATTCTTTCTCCTCTCCTACCTGTATAATTTCTAGTTTTCTATGCTCAAGCTTGCCAATTCTCTCTTCCATATGGTCTACTCTATTTCCAATGCTTTCTAATGCATTCTTCATCTCATTTATTGAATTCTTCAGCTCCAGAATTTCTGTTTGGATGTTTTTCAGAGTTTCAACCTATTTGGTAAAGTATTCCTTCTGTTCATTGATTTTATTTCTGAGCTCATTGAACTGCCTTCCTGAGTTTTCTTGTAGCTCATCGAGTTTCTTCATGACAGCTATTTTGAATTCTTTAACAGTTAGATCACAGTCTTCTATGACTTTATGTTTGGTATCTGATCAATTGTTATTTTCTTTTTGTGATGCTGTGTTACCATGGTTTTTCGTGGTGATTGATAAGTAATTCCTCTACCAGGGTATCTGTCATAGCAAATACTTTTCTTATTTAGTTATAACTTTGTTTATTTTGATTATAATTATTCAATTGGTTGGAGATAGAGGGATTTATTTTCTTTTTCAGTAGCTGGTGCTATAGCACTAGTTTTTGGTTTCTCTCACCTGAGCTGCCTCAGGCTATATTTGAGGATCACCAATTTCTACCTTCCATTGCCTCTATTAGGGGTATTTCTGGCACTCTCATCATGGCTGCCTGTGCCTCTGGGGTCACTGAAGCTTTGCTGTTGCCAGTGTCACTGTGGTCACTGGCTTCACCTCAGGGGTACAGAGATGGCTGATGCCTCTGCTGCATCTGCCATCACCTGGGTTGAAAGTACCACTGCTGTGGGGGGGGGGAGTGAGGGAAAGGAACCAGGTATGTGGGGCACTGCCTCTGCTGTTGTCTGTTTCCTTGTGGGCACAGGTGCTGCTGCAATTGGGAGGCTAGAGTCATGTCTGCTGCCAAGCTCTGAGCTGCATCCAGGGGCTTGGGATCACAGGACTCTGCCTCCACTGTGCCTATTTCCTTGTAGCCACAGGCAGCACCACAGCTGAGAGGCCAGAGTCACGCATGCATCTCCACTGCTGCCCACCAGGTTCTCTGGGGTTGGGGGTGGCTGGTTCAGCTGCCACATCCAAGGGGCCAGTATCCTGGGCACTGCCTCCCCTGTTCCCCCACTTTGCCTCCTCTATATACTCCAATCCACCTACTTTCATTTGTACTGATGTGTGGATCTCTCTGGCATCCTGGTGTGTTGGGCCACATAGCCTTTGTTGAGTTATGGATGTTTTATTTGCTGTAGATTGAAGGGAAGAGACAAAGGGATCACATCATGCTACCATGATGATGATGTCTTGTTTTTCCTTTATCTGTCCCCACTTCCATGTTGCCTTTTTGAACAACATTTAACATATGTTACGAATTTAACCTTTACATCTGTATGTCAGTTTTCAGATAATGTTCGTCTTCTTTAGCTCTTTCAAGCTCTTCTAGTTCCTATAGTAATTGTTTTCAGACTTTCCACATATTAGAATTATCTGAGAAATATGAAAAAATAGAATTTCCTGAATTCAAATCAGTAAGTGTAGAAATTTGTTCATCCTTGTGTTATATAAGTTTTGGGGGTTCCCTTGCACATCCATTATCTGCAGATGTATATGAAAGAGAAGAAAATAAAAGATGGAGTCAAATGTACCATGAATACAAAGATCAAAGGGTTAAGAGGAAACATCATTTATTGAAGAGCTATTGTGATGTAGGCACTAAATTAGGGTTTTCTATGTATATTAATTTAAATTGTTTTTGAAACATAATATAAATACATTACTATTTTTTTCATTTAACAGATTATGAAAGTTCCCATAATCATATAAAATGTTCAGTGACAGAACCAAAATTCCATGTATAGTATTGCCTACCTCTCTCACCCTCAAGAATAAACAAGTATGCCAATGAAACATCACAGAAAATTCAGAGAGAGATCCATATATGTCTGAGAGAATACTTCATGACACACTAGAATTATAAATCAATGAGCAAAGTATATACTGGCCCATAAAAATAAACGTACTCAAATAATGGTTTATATTAATTCAGAGACAGATTGGTTACTAACTCACACCAGACAAAATTCCAGGTGGATCAAATTCCTCAGTCTTGAGATGTCATTCTAAGGAAAATTTTCTTACCAACCCCAAAGTAAAGCCACCAAGATAACATAAACGATATGAAAAATAAAAGTGACAGTGCATATTTACAACATTTATAACTGATAGATAGTACAAATATTAGAAATGCTTCACTTATTTAACTATTCTCTCCAACCCATGGCAACCACTGAGCTTTTTACTCTCTTTATAGTTTTACCTTTTCCAGAATGTCGTATTAATGGAATCATATAATGTGTAGCCTTTTCAGATTAGCTTATTTGATTTAGCAATAGGCATTTATGAGTCATTCATGTCTTTTCATGCCTTGTTCCTATACATTGCTGAAGAGTATTCCATTTTACGGATGTACCACAGAATTTTTTTCCATTTACAAATCGAAGGATATACTGATACCTTCCAGTTTTTGGAGATTATGAATAAAATTGCTACAAACATTCAAGTACAGGTTTTTGTGTGGACACAAGTTTTCAAATAAGTTCAGTATGTATCTAGGAGCATGATTTCTGGATCATATGGTAAGATTACATTTAGCTTGATAAAACACTGTCAAAGGTCTTCCAAAGGGGCTGTGCCATTTGCAATCCCACCAGACATGACTGAGTATTCCTGTTGCTCCACATTCTTGTCATTAATTGACATCATAAGCGTTTTGAATTTTAGCCATTCTAATAGGTATGTCTTAGTATTTAATTGCTGTTTTATTTTATGTTTACCTGACGAATCATGTTAAGTATCTTTTCATATGCTTATTTTCCATTTACATATTTTCTTTAGTGAGGTGTTTGTTCAGATCTTTTGAATTTTAAGACTTCTTAAGATATTTTGGATACAAGCCTTGACCTGGTATAATTTGGGCATGTAACTTGCAATTTGTAAACATCAGTTTTCATGTGTGAAAAAGAGTATGGATAATAACTTTCCTTATTTTCAGGATTACTTGAAAACTCAATTAGGTACAATATATAGAAACATGCCTATGACAATGCCTGGAACAGAAGACATTAAATATTAGCTAATGTTCACAGAGTGTTTATTATGTGCACTGTTCTATGCACTCGTTTTGTATTAACTTGATTAATTCTTA